TTGGTCCTTTCTGACACCTCTTTTATATGTAAATATAAAGAGAACCCATGAAAGTAGAGAAAAAATACTTTTTCTTGAGTGTCAAGTTAGAGATCAGCCTTAGAAAATCCTGTGACTGGACTGATTTAGTATTGTGGTGCTAGAAAATCTAAATTTAATTTTCTTATTTTTCAGACTTGCTGTGTTATGCTTGGCAGATCATTTATGTCATCTCTCTGTATCTTATATCCTCTTATACTGAGTTTTCTCCTTTGTCTGTTTACAGAGTCCAGCCCAAACTGAAAAACAAGGATATCTGGGTGCCCTTGTACAAGAAGCTTTTGCTTGTTGCTTCTCACTTAAAGCTATTTGAGATAGTTCCGATCTATATAACAGTAAAGTTAGGCATTACAAATAAAATCTTTTCTTTTAGGGTACTTGTGAATTTAATCCAGTGTACATTAATCACCCTTATTAAATGACCCACATAACAACGTTGTGCCACAAACAGAAAGCTTATGGTTCCAAGCACTGTATGGTGGACAGGCAGAATAAGTATACAACATGGAGTGTAGTATTGAAGGAAGGGAAAACAAAGGGAAAAGTCAGAGTGAAGTGGGGTTTTACATAAATGAGGGTACACACAGCCAAGATAAGTTCTTGAATCCAAGATAATGAATGACCAGGTTAATTTCTGCAAGCTAAAATTAGTCTATTCTTTTTTTTGGCACTGACAGCCTGTCTGTAGCTGAGCTTCTGTCAGGCTTTTGTGTTTGCCACCATTTTGGACCCTTATGTTTTCTTCTTCCTTTATGTGTCTCTGTAGCCTTTCATCCTCTCCCTCAAGCAGATCAACCTATGCAGACTTTCTCATAACTCTGTTATGGGAATCCTGACTTTTGTAAGCATTCTACAATTATAGATGACCTCTCCAAAGAGCCTCCTGGATTTAAGCCACTGTCACCTGAAGAAAGTACTCCATATAAATGCTTCTCAGCTTTATCAACCACTTAAAAAAATAGCAAAGTAGTTGGTTCCCACTGCTTACTTTGCTTGTTTATGGTCTTCCTGGAAATTGTCTCTGCTTTTAGACGAAGCCAAGCATGTCCAAAGGTTTTTTTTTTTTAATTGTCTCTGCTTTTAGATGGAGTCAAACATGTCTTAAGAGGTTCTTGGGGCATTTTTGACATGTAAGCTTGAAAGCTATATGTTTATTTGGTGCAAGGATTTACCTTACACATTAGAACAGTGACATTAAACCAGCCATATAGATTAAACAGAGTTTACAGTCTGATACAGCTACACATGGAAAGGCTGTAATGCCAGTCAGCATCCATAAACTGTACAAAAACAGATTTCCCAAATTCTCACAGCTGTTCCTGTATTTTGTCCCTTGAATAAGCGTGGTTATGTCCTGGTAGTAGGAAGCTTTATGCAATGTGTTCTTCCATAAGGCAAACTCTGTTTTTGTTATAGCTGGGAGGTCTCCACGTGGAATTCTAGCTCAGTCAAAAGCAGTAGTGTTGCAGATTCATTGGAAACAGCCAGTTTAATCCCCCAGCTAACACAAGTATGTTTTTTTCAATTCAGTCAAGGAATCCAGGCTTATAAAATGACTTTATAATGGTTTTTGAGGAATTGTTTACATGAGAGAATCAAGAGAGATGAAAAACAGAGAGGGTCGCTCTTCAGAAATGGGCTGCATACAGGAAATAGGAAACGTATGTGTCAACTTTGCTTCCAAGTTCCAACACTGACATGAAACAAGACATAATGAAGGCTGTTTCGGGGAAGAAGTTTCCACTTCCATAGGTTGAATCATAATACATGGCAGCTAAGAGAAGGCAACATAAGTGAAGCATTGTTAATAATGCTGTTGTTGCAATTTCTGGCATGGTTAATAATGCTATTGTTGCTGTTGTTGCAGTAATGTTATTGTTGCAGTTGTTTAGGTGAAGTTTAAAAACTGCGTGCATGAGTTCCCATTCCCACTTCAGGACAAGAAAATGATTGATGTATTGAGCTGTTTGTGCTCTCATCATTCTGTTCTATTTTGGTTAGACTGAAGCTCTTATGCTGATTCTAAACTAGCCATAGCATTTCATTTGCTTTTAATTACATAGAATTTCTCCGCTAGTTGTAAGTGACTTGTCACAGCAGTTCATGAAATTGTTTTTAAGTGTTGTCCTCATTGGAATTGCAGGGGAGAGAAATGTTTTCCCATAGCTATACGCAATGATCCTTCCCACTTTATTAAAACATATCGCAACGTTTTAAAAAGAAAAACATAAGAAAGTTGTATGTTTTGAATTGTTAAATCCCAGTCCTGATTTACTTCCATATCTTTACCACTGAGCTTGAGAGAAGATTTGAACTGCTCATATGCCTTTTCATTTCACACTGAATTTATAGGAAGTTTCCAAATAATAACAGTGAACTTGGCAGGAATAAATGTAGACCAAATGGTGTAATCCCCACAAGGAAGCATAATTCTCTTATGAAGTATTTACTATAGCAAGCTTGGAAATCCAACAATAGGTTATATTGTTAATAGATTGTTTATAGTATCTTTTATTGACTGATTCATTCCTAATGGCAACAGATTTAGTCACCTAACATTCTTCATATGGCAGGCAGTTCTGTGTTCACTGTTGCTTTAAGAATCCTCTCAGGTATGAGAAAGTTTCTTTTTGACATAAATCAATAAATAGGACATAAATAGGATCTTGCAAAGTTCAGAAGTTCCCTGAAATGTTCCTGAACTTTCTGATGCTCCCTTCCTGTGACCTGCCAATAACCCTTATCTCCCCTGCCTTCATGACCCTTTAATGTTTCCCTGGCTCTCCATTCCCTTCATCCTCCTAAAGAGCTTGGCTATTTCCCAACTTGGATTCATCCAACAGGCCACCCTCCTTGGAAACTCTCCCAGTCTTTCAAACAGCCTTGCAGTACAGTAGCCTAAATACTAGTTTGCACATTTAAATTTCACAAACTGCTGAACCTGTTATTTTGATATCTGAACTAAAAATTCCAGTGGTATAGTTCTGTGTAACCATCAATGTATATTATGTGCACCTGATACACCTGGTAGCTTCAGACATGAGAGGGTACTACAGCCACACACTTTACCCTGTTTTTCAGCTGACTGAAGTTATCTAATACAGTTTTGGATGAGGTGTTAACTTTGAATGCGCCAAGTAAAATGGTCCTCAGAAATTTTATTTTTAACAGCTAACATACTTGCTCACAGATTTGTTCCAGTACAAATCACAGACTGGGTCTGATGGTGTTCACATTTTCCAGTTTGCCTACAAATAAATACAAGCTTCACAGGAATTTTCTGTAAAATAAGAAAGTATCCCAAGTGTCCCAGAAGTATGCAGCTTTGTGAGTATTTAAGCAAGCGGTGTCAATGCAGCAATCTAAACATCTTGTGTGCCTGGCAAAAGGATGACTACTCACATGAAGCTGGTGACAACTTGTTTCTTCGCTGTTGCCCCTGTACTTAAGATACCCCCTGGAATATTTGTAAGAGACTAGAATGAACTCAGCTGCTTCTCAGTGACACAGACAAAGTTTAAGTTTGTCATCTCAAAAGTAATGACAAAACTGTGTCATTGCATTTGGTAAAAGTCAGCCCATGGGTTTAGAGATGGGACAGATGCAGGTGAAAAGGCTGATGAGTGGGAACAAAGTCTTGAATGGTGACAGCAAAAAAGCAGTAAAAACATCCAGGTTGGATGGTTGCAGCCGAGGAAGTGAACCAAGACACCAAGACAGCCAGTGTGGATATGTTGGTGTGTTACGAATCCCCCACAGGTTTGGAAGGACTGAGATAAAGTCTGGAATATTCAGTAAGGGCAAGATGACTTTAGCCAGATATTTCTTCTACTACAGATAAAGTAGACTGTCCTTGGCAGTTACCTATCTATGCAATGTGCTAGTTTGTTTTTTTATTTCTCCATGCAATTAAAACAGTAGCCTCTGCCGTATATGTGTACGGTCTGAATTATATTTTCTAATCCTTGGAGGACCAGCCCAAAATACTGTAAGAAATGAACATTTGAGGGATAAAGCACAAATCTGTCTGTTTACAGGGGTAGACTGGACATTGAAAAACTGAAATGTATCTAGTAATACCTGGAGACAGGTATAAACAAATAAACAAATAAACATAAACAAATGCAGTGCCCTTTCTCTCTCATCCAGCATCTCTCATTCAGTCCCCAAGCACCTCAGTAAGCCTTATTAAGAAACCTGCTCTGAGAATCAAGACTGGTCAGAGAGTTTAAGACACCACAAGTGCTGAATTAAGGGGCCTAATAATCTCCTTCAACCAATAGATTGACTGGGAACACTTTCCTTTCTTACTGTCCCTTTGTCGATTGGACACTGACATCTCTCTACTGAGGGACTTTTTCTTATGTCTCTGGAGACAGGAAAATGACATCTAAGTATCAACTTAGAAGGCTTATAAATGGAAGACTGCCAGAAATACCAGTTCTATCAGTAGCTGAAAATAAAGCATATTGGTTATACACCAAACCACTTGCACGTCATCAGTTTCAGTTTGTGCAAACCCATCTTATTTCATGTCCATCATGATTTTAAAATCCTCTGGGACCAGAATTTCAGATTTACATTGTTCAGCTGATCACGACAGATAAGAATATATTTGATGTTACTTATCTGCTATTTAAAAATATAACAGATTAGCAGGGTTAATTGTGCCTTGTGATAAACCAGTGGTTAGTAACCCTAACTAGAGAGATCACATGTATTAATTTACACTAATTTCATTTGTTTCAGGGTCGTGTAAGAACAAAAGACAAAAGGAAAACACAGAAACCCCCTTCTCTACTGAAACAACCATAAGGTTCAGTGTTTCAGCTTTGAAGTCCCAAATATATTTTGGCTCATGAAAATGGATTAAGAAGATGTACTATCATTCTGAATAACAGATTTTCCCAAGCACTTTATGCATAGGAGAGAGAGAAGTTTCCTGATATGTGATACCCTTCATGGAAACAAATGTCAAGAAAAACAAGTGAACAAAACTTATAACATTCTGTCAAGTGCTGAAGAAGCCCCTATTATTATTTCTAACACCTTGCCTTTAGAGCAAGTTTCACGGTCTTATGTGCCAGTTCTTCCCAGAATTTTTCCCAAAGAAGTACATTGGAAGCTATATCCCAGAAAAGGTGACCAGGCACTGCAATAATATCACAAAAGTCAAATTCTTCAGACATGCCTCAAACATCCTCCCCAAGAAGACCTCCCTTCAAGGTATGCTATATCTGTGGCAGAGAATTTGGGTCACAATCTATTGCTATACACGAACCTAAGTGCCTAGAGAAGTGGCGTATTGAGAATGATCGGCTACCAAAGCACCTTAAAAGGCCAGAGCCCAGGAAACCTGAGGTCCTTACTGGTTCTGGTTCCTATACACTTACAGATGAAAATGAAGCAGCTTATTATAGTGCTCAGGCCCAGCTGGTGCCCTGTAGAAAGTGTGGCCGAACCTTTTTTCCTGACCGTCTCCCTGTGCACGAAAGGTGTTGCAAAGGAGGTGGCGCTACCGCTAGTAAATCTGGTAAAGCACCAAGATCTGGACCTGCCTCAGCAAGTGGTGATCCATCTGAGGCCCAGCAAGGAATGAGCAGGGCTGCACCAGCTGTATCAGACCAGGTAAATTGCTAAGCATGTGCTGTATGAAAGGGTGTGCATGCATCTTGATGCTTGGCACTCCAGGGGAGACTGGCTTGCCATCAAATTTAAAATCATTTCTCTTCAGAAGGACCTTTTAGCTCCATGCAAATTTTTCTCTGCTAAATAGAGGATAAAGAAAAGGGAAATACTGGGAAGGGAAGGAGGGAAACCACTTATTCCTGTTTATTTTGATTTTCCTTTTGAATGGGAGTAGTTGGGTTCTGTGTTGAGAGTTTAAGAGTTATATCCCCAAGAGAGACCATTGCTTGATTTAGTTCGCTAGGAGATTCTATTGAGCAGATTAGGCAAGGTTTGGATGTCATATGTTTTAGGAGATGTTAGATATTTTTATTTAGTTAATATGAAATGCAATGTTTCATTGTCCTGCAAGCATCCAGTACTTCAAAACATGATTTTCATATTTTACTGTTATTCTTAACCTTGGCATGCAACATGAGTTTACTGAGGACTGCATGTTCAAAGGCAGCAGTTCTGGGTATAACAACAACAAAATAAATAAGACTGCACATTTTTTTCCACTGAATTTGATTCAGGATCCAAGAATAAAGAAGCTGATTCACATTATCCAAAAGCTACACAGAGTTTTGGAAAATTGGATATTTTTTTCTGCATTTGTTTCTGCACAAGCTGTCTTTTGGCCAGGAGTTTTGTAAGATAGTTGTCTAAATTTAGGCCCAGTGTCCAAATTAAATGGCCTTTTTTTTTTTTTTTTTCTTTTCAAATGTAGGCTGGAATCCTGATTGCCCACATTACTTTTGATAATGGGATTTAGGTCTCTCAGTCACCAAAGGAATGCAATGCTATGCAGAGCATTTCTTAAGATGCTTTAGAAGGCAAAGTGTGTAACATGTTAGTTTGCCAGCTACTGAGTAAAATTAAGATAATAGCATTACCCTAGCTCAATGAGTCTAAAGACTTCATGAGTCCCTTTTTTATTATGCCATATGAGGCCCTAATTGATATATTTTGGCACATATATTTGTTATGCTATATGAGGCCACTGATGGATATATTTTGGAAAATTGATATATATTTGGCAAATTTGCTTTTATCAGCAAATTTTACATTATCCACAAGCAAATTTTACATGACCCACAACGTGCTGCACTGCTGCCTTTATAGTTGTAGAAGATGTGATGCTGTTTACACTCTATTGTGCTCTTTCCCAAAGAACTGTCATTGCTCTAAAGGTGATTGTTCAATGAAAGGCATGGGTGTGAAGTAGAGTTTAATCTATCACACATAATTCTGTAGATTATAAAAGAGAGGGAGAGGGCAATTTTCTATAATTATGATCCCATAAAAAAAAGCCTTTAGAGTGTGGTTTGGCACTGACAGTGAATCTAAAAAATGTTACCCTCTTGCGCAACGTATCTGCTTTCTTTGTGGATGCACTCACATCTGCTGACTTGTTGAACAACAGCATTATTGCCACTTTTTACTTCCGTGAGCTCTGCAGAGCCAAAATGAAATCTGTTCAATTCTGCTCTTCCTTCTGTGTGAACAGCAGGTTTCCTCATTTACTTCCAAGCAGTTCCAGTTCATCAGTTACAGCAGAACTAATGAGGCTGTACAGCTTGCAGTTTATAATTGACTTTGAGGGACTTTATTATTAACAATGACTTTCAGAAAGAGATGATGGATTTTACGTCTCTGAGGTCTATTCTTCAGTACAGAATTATGCATTGAAGGCAGAGATGGAATGGGAAGATTGAAAGAAGTATCCTATGATCCAAGGGGTTCTTCAGGACTTGCAGACAGATTATAAGAAGCTGTCAAAGGAAGCCACTTTGCTGTAGATTTAAATTCTCTGTGAGAGAATCTTCATTTCCAGTTGAACATTTTGAAAGGTCCACACATTCACACATTGAAGGGTGTGGAAAAGCACTAAGTTTATGGAATAACTGCAGATTAATTATGAACAGGGACAAGGTCTGTGTCTCCACTAAAGTCTTCCTCTTTTTCCAGCATATGGTTTTCATTTTGCTCACCTTACCAGCTACTCAGCTGCTTATTAATACTATAAAAAAATAGTGCTTCACTAGTGGTGGAGTGAAATGGCTACTGTTCTGGTCCTGGCTGGAAAGCATTTGGGGCAGTCCCCGTCTCATCTAACAGTCTTACTCACTATGGCAGTGAATTATTTAAGTACTTGCTTAAAGTCTTGATTCAGCAGAACATCAGAGGAAAGCAATAACTGAAAAAAACTAGCCAGCCTTTATGTATTTAAGCGAATTAGTGCTACTGTTAAATAAATTTATGCAATGAAAGATGCCCTAAATGAAAAACCTGGATTTTCCTCATTTTCAAAATAAAGTTCTGACTGATTTAGTGGTATACCATGTAAAGTGCATTTTAACTTTACAACTGCAAGCACTTCTCCTTGTATGCCTCTGCGTATATGCCCTGGAGTTCTCTCCCCTTTAGCAAGTGTGGCATCAACTAGGCCAGTATTATTACTGACAAACTCTCAGTTCTGCATTAAATGCCTTTAGAGGTGGAGACTGAACAGCCTCCATAAGCAGTCTCTTCCAGTACCTGTCCTCGCTCTCAGAATCAATGAACACATCTGAGTTAATCATGTCTGGTTGTGTAGAATAACAGCCTATGCTCAGAGCAAAGACTCTCAAGGGTCACATCAGCTCAGAAATTCTGCTTTGGGTTCTGTTGTGATACCCCAAACAATGGAAGTGGTGTCTGCAGCTGCTGAAACTCAGACTTGCACTAAAACAGTCTGTGTTCTGTTGTTTCATAGACAAAAATATGTGATATATGTAAGTGAGCATCAGTAACTTGCTGTATGTATATGAGTTATGGGGTTTTTGACAATAGATAACACTGATCTCAAAAGCCTATTAGATAGTGCTGCCATCTGCTGTTTTCTTATCTAGTTAACGACCTAAAAATATTTCACTGATCTTCCTTTGCTGAATTGTAATGTGTTTTAACACAGTGTAAGTCTTGAAAATTTGTGTAGCAAGAGCTTTGATGTTGTATTTTGCTCTAGCATAAAGCCATGTAGCATCTTGGTAAAGGGAAGGCTTCTTCAGGTGCAGTATAATTCTAATGAAGGTGGAAAGTCAATGAGGACCTTTTTTGCCTCATTGCAGTGGTTTTGAATACCTTCCTAGGAGAATACTGCAAATATAGAAAGTTAGATGAGAATGGACAGTGAATGGATGGTTTGAAGGAAACTTACTGAGTATTATCCTTGGGAATGACTGAGTGTCCTTCCTTTGCTTGTACATGGATGCGCTATTCGTTGTACTGATGTACTCAACTTAAAAAGAAAGCACATCAGGAGCAAAATGGGATATTTCATGCTTCCAGTGGAGTAATATTTTTAATTGTATGCATAATCTTGCAGAATTATCTTGCTGTTCAAGGCATATGATCCTAACATGAGTGCTGTTGTAGGCTGTGAAGTGCAACTTTGGATAGTCATGAGAACCATACCATACCTTGTCTGTGATCCTTATGCAAAATGCCTTTTACTTGGCTGAGAAGAATGTTTGGAAAGGGTTGCTTTCATACAATAGAGTGCTGCTGCTAAGTGCTTGTACCATTCTTCTACTGAGCCTCTAATTCAAGTCTATGACAAGAGCTCCATCCTAGAGCAGGATGCCCCCCCTCTTCCCATTAAAATAAGTGGATAATTAAACAAATAAGAAGGGAAGAGTTGTGTGCAGTCCTGGATGATAAATATTTATGTAGGGAAGTTTGGGATTCAGTCTTATTGTGTGTACTTAAGAAGAAATAAAAAGCTTTGTGCAGTATGGAAGGATTTGACCTCATGTAACACCATAACAGCAGCCTGGGGCTAACCTTAAGTAATGTCAGGTCTATTGAAAATACATAGTTGCATAGCCCTCTGAACTAAATAACTTCATTCATAGTCACGCAGACATACTTAGCAGTCTTGGAGTAAAAAAGAAAATACTGAGACACCAGAGGAAAGCCTAACTACACTGTTAGGTATTTGTAGGTATTTTTATAATAACACATATCCTCAGGAACAGACCTTCCCTACAACCCTTTTTGAAAGTTAAAAACAAAGCAGTGAACAGACAGCCTAGCCACTGGCCTGTGAGTAGTTTGGGTTGGAAAATTGTGGTGTTTCCAAAAATAGTTCAGTTTCAAACTGCAGGCCTCCAGATGTTACATTTGGGATAGGCACACTGAAAACAAAGAGAAATGAAGGGTAAATATCATCAGCTGTAGAAATTCCAAGTAAAGCTTATCATATCTTGGATTCCACAGTTAAAAAAAGAAAAATCTGTTACTACCAATTGCTAGGCTAATCTCTTTCAGGTTTTAAGCATGTGTGCAGGGAAGAATTTGTGTGTATATAATTGTATGTGTGGTGATGGGTCAATCTCAGTATTTTTCGGGGAGAAAAATAATTCTATCCTAAGAGTGATCTGATTTCTTTTAATTCATTCAGCTTTCTCCTGTTGTTTCTGTACAGTTTTTAATTTTGGAAATTGCAAAAGACAGACCTTTCTACTTGAAAAGATTTCTGCATTTGCACTAGGATTTCTTTTTCTTAGTCTGTTACCATATGAAGAGTCCCTACAATCTGAATATAAATAAAATTGCTCTTTCCTAGTTTGCAGCCAATAAGTAACCATTTAAATGAATGCAGGAACCCAGCTAATGAGAACTCGTGGGGAAAGTATGTTCCCTGTGATTTTACACCTAGCATTTTTTAAGATACCATTTCTAAAATAGTATAACCATACCCACAGCAGGCATGCACACTAAAAAGAGTTCTCTGACCTCAGGAGTTTAGATTGTAGTATCCTCATCTAAAGCTCTCCAGAGCCTACAAATAAACGTATAGTGTCTTCAGAAGACTTTGTATCTGGACCCAGAGTCTTACTTTAAAATCAGACAAGTTCTAGGTCACAACTTGAAGTAAAGAAGTAAGTGAAATTTGATAATGAAAAGTTATAAGATTTTTTTAAAATAGCTGTTGCTGTATTCTAAAAAATAAAATCTAAAAAATAGGAGAAGAAGGCTGTATTTTTATATATATTAGAAAATATGCTCATATAAAATACTGTGTTATCAAAGATAGCAAGGAAATGCCATTTGTAAGTCAAGAGGATGAAAATGTCCTTGGAGAGCCTGTCTTTGGATGTTATGTTTCAAGACACTGTGAGAACTTTCCAGATGAAGTCCAGCTTTTCCCAGAAAAAATACACTTTATAGAATAGTATTTCTTTCATGTAAGTGAGATTACATGTGTGATACAGGAAGGCGATCTTCTGCAGATTGTTCACTAATGACATTTTCAGACTGTAACATAAATACGAGAAAAGCTGCCCAGAATTTTGTGAACACATTGTGATGGGCTGACAGAAAGAGTCATAAATACGGGAACAGGTTATGCTTTGTCTTACACAGCAGCAGAGGAAAAAATGAAACCCCCACAACTCTTGTTTGAGTGAGAAAGGTTTCCTGTATTTGGTCTGGCATGGCTGTCTGTCTGACTTGAGGAGGGCAGGGAATAGCTCATCTCTTACTGGTATTCTGCAGTCAGAAGTGTAGGAAGTGCTGGCAGTTGTGAGACCCATCTGTGTGCCTCAAAGTTCTTCTCTACAGCATGTTTTTATCCAACTTCCTGAGCACGGCTGTTACTGATACCACGCCTAGCCGAAGACACGCCTAAGGACACAGCTGAGTCCGTAATCTGCAATACCACAGTAATTATACATTTTTCAGCCTTAGATTATGTGTTTGTGAGGTTTGGGGTTGAGGAATCTTTTTCTTCAGAGCTGTTTTCCTCTGAGAACAAAAGCTGATCTTCAGTGTGGAAACAGTGACTTGCTTAGAGTCCAGTTCTGCCCTTGCTGCAGTCACTGGCAAAGTTCACACTAAGGCCTTTGGGATAAACAAACAGCAGTTCCTATTTTGCACCTCATCCTGAAATATCCTGCCTTGGTTTTAATCTTTGAAGGCCAAGAATTTCACTAGATAACTGATCTGTGTCAAAAGTGAGGTAAAGAACCACCATCACCTCTTGGGAGAGCTGTCCTCACTGTCCAGCTTAAGAGAGATAAATACCTAGGCTGGACACAGCACTTGATCCGTGTTCTGGTAGAAGATGGAGTCTTTCTGTTATTGTACTAGACATCAAGAGTTCAGCTGATGAAGCTTTTGTTGCTACTTTCCATTTTACGTATGCTTGGTAAGTAAAAAATGGCTTCAACCATTTAAGGTGGATGCTGCATTGCAACCTGATGAAGTCAAGGTGTTGTTTCTGCATGTGAAGACTTATCATCTTCATGAACTTGAAGCTATGAAAATAAAAGAGATGAAACTTAACACAGATAAGTATAGATTAGTCACACACATCAGTCAGCCCAGCATCTGCAGAAGAAACCTGCCTGTTCCAGCTGCCCACTTAATGAGGCAATATCTCTTATAAGCCTCAGAAGTGATTCCAAACAAAACCAGACTGAAAAAAACAGTTACACAGATTTCACAGATAGCACATTCCTTATCTATATGATTGCTTTCATACAAAGTCATTCTGATTCAAAATGAACATTAAAAACAATATTTCTTCTTCTTCACGGTTGTTGTTTGCAGGCAAAAGTGATAAGACGGCCACCAACAGTGATTTGCTACATATGTGGCCGTGAGTATGGAACAAAATCTATTAGTATACATGAGCCACAATGCCTGAAAAAATGGCACCAGGAGAATGACAACCTCCCCAAGCACTTGAGAAGGCCAGAACCCAAAAAACCTGAAGTCAGAACTGTGCAAGGTAAGCTACAGACCAAATTAAGAGAGATGAGCAAAAAAGTGTGAGGAATTAAAAAAATATATTTTAAAGCAACAGGTAAACAGTTTGCAAGTACTCTGTTCTCCAGTTTACTGTCAAGATCTTGTTTTAAGCTTTCCTTCTGCTTCACAGAAGGAAAGCTTATAATAAAGTCTTGAAAGTAAAAGTAGTCATTATCTACGAACTAGGCTCCTGGGACATTCCCCTCTATGTGCAAATGTGTCCTGAATCAAAACACAAATAGATTAGCAACCTGCTTCACTACTACTTCTTGACTTCTTTTAACACAGGCATGTCTTAAAACAACCAAAAACATCCAAGAATAATGTGCAGACATGACACAGAATCATTAAAATAAAATACCCTCAGGCAACATAGATATAAATACTTCAGCCAGATTCTTCTACAGTCAACAGTCCATATTGATCCCTTATTATTTACAAGTCTGAGAAGCTTTCATTGTGAGATACTGTAATATAAACACAGTGGAGAAAAATATATATGTTGTACAAAATAAACAATCAATTTTTTGCCAATTTTACATGTTTGTGCTGTGGGTTCTGTTTTCTAAGATATCACTTCTTCAAATCAATGAACACTGATGATCCCCAGCATCCCCAGAGATGGGCTGTCATGTGTATCTGAGGGTCATATGTTCACTCTAGTATGTAAAGGAATTCCTATCCATGCTTTGCCTGGAAGGTGTTCCCAGGACTTCCCATTCCCACATAAAGTTATTTCACCTTTCTTGCTGGATGCTTTCCCTGGCCCTACCAGCTGGTCTGAGCTACTTTGGGCCAAGTTTGGACCACTTCCTCACAGGCATTTTATTCACATACACTTTTTTTTATATTCCCCACAATTTCCCTCAGCTTCCCATAATGTCTGGAAAAGTAGACGAAGTCTCCTACAACTCACTTGTGAAAGAGTCATACACTAGATCAGTTTACAGCAGTACAAAGAAATATGTCCTCAGAAGACATGCAGAAGAGAGCAGGATCACTGAGAACACTAACCAGATGTTCAAAATAATAATCAAAATTGAAGTAATATAAAACCGGAACTTGGTTAACAGATGCCAAGTGGCATAGTTGAATCTGCAGTAAAAGATGTGTTCAAAAAACATCTTCATTGTATTTGCCTTTTTAGTTGTTAAGCACTTTTTAATTATTACACATTGTGTGGTAGAACAGATGGAGAAAATGAGAATTCCATGTGAAAGAGAGGGATGCAAAAAGGCAAATCAGGTTATTTTGAAATACACTCTTCTTGTTTTGAAGGAGTGAAAGCAGAAAGACAACCACTCTTTGAGAAAACAATCTAGCAAAAGGCTCCCAGATATGAATCAGAAAGTTGTCTCATTTACTCAATGAGTCATATCAGGCGCCTCCAATCTCCTGAGGAGTGTTGTGTGTCCATGGTTCCTCTGGGGATACTGACCTGCTTCCAGCATCTGTCCCTAAATACCTGCTGATGCAAGCCTGGTCGGTTCTGTAGCTTGAGCTAAAATTGTTGTTCCCCCTGCAGCTGCCTCATATTCCTGGCCTTGAGAAAATAATCTCAGTGTTGTTCTTTTTCCATAAGACTTACTCTTGATCATGTGGTAAATGCTATAACTGACCTTCAGACCACATGCATGTACTGCATGTCTCGCAGCGTCTCAGCTTGGGGGGAGGGATTACCCCTGTTGTTGAATGAAACAGACAATGTTCAAAAAAAGCTCAGAAATATTAACTGCTTACATAAAACTTTTTATAACTTACATAAATCTTCTTCTGAAAACTCAAGTGTCACGGGAAGACAACCACTGCCCTCATTACACAGTGTTTTGTTTGTGGAATGCCTAACACATGCCTGCAAGGAGAAAGTCGTCTCTCTTTCTCCCTCTCCTTTTTTTTTTTTTTATTCCATAAACTTTCCAAAGTACAGAAAATACACATTCATTTCCTGCAAGCAAAGGGGATATTTGTCTCAGCCAAGAAAAGAAACACTACTTGGTTGCTCTTCTAACAAAAAGAACATTAGGAACAGGCATATTAAGAGATCTAAGGCTTATTGTGGTTATGTGAACCATTGGATATGAATCATATTAAAATTGTATGGGCCTTTAATGAAGAGCTCTAACATGTGCCAATGACAGAAACCATGGAATATTTTTAAATGCAAAAATCCTTTTCTTTCAAAAATTGTCCACTTCTAACAGTTCAAAGAAAAAAAACAGATTTTAAAATCTTTTTCTATATTGTCATACCAAATAAGAAGGGTGAAGCAAATACGTCTTCAATTTGAGCCATGTGGATTTTTTTCTGCGTACACTTCAAATGAAAATCCTTAAGATCTAAATCCAGGTATTAAGCAACCTGCCTAGCCTTTTTGCAAATCAGTTTGAAACAGCACTGTGTGAAAATCCATTTCAAAAGGAAAGTCCATTTCAAGATGAAAGTAAACAAGATCTTTTTTTATAACCCAAATTAAATCTTGAAAATACATCTGAGTGTTTGAAGAATGCTCCTGAGTTTTCAGAGCAGTCATTCTTCCCGCAGTGGAAAATGAAAATAACTGACGGTAAGGCTGGATTGGTGTTTAGATGACAATAGATGCATCAGTGCAATGACCTCACAGGAAGTTGTGGCTTTAAAGTACTGTAGTTTTTGTCTGTAAGGTTTTAGGCTTATCTAAGATTTACTCCACTTTTTAGTATAACTTACATAGGCTCTAACAGGAAGAAAATTGGGCCCCTTGTCCAGAGCAGTACAAAGAGCATATTCTCAAGTATGATATGCTCCCACCCATAGCCATGGTCAGATAACACATGCTTGTTAAACAGAGCTTGAAGCAAAGCCAAAAAGTGAATTTGCTGATAATAGTAGGTATACAAAGATGTTAATAATTAGCTGAGAATGCAGATCATAACACACAGCGTGATGTTTTCTCTGTACTCTCATACAATACAAAATCATTCAGTTTGAAGTTAATTTAATTCAACCCTTGGGACAAAAACCAGTCTTTTTTATATACTTTTTACTCTTTTGCTTCTTTCTTTTCTTTTTCATTTGCAAAAGCAATATGGTTTGGTTAAACTGAAAGGCTCAGTCAACAGGTATTTCCTGAAAATATTTTCCATAAAGAGTTGAATGTGGGTCTCCAGAATGAAAGCTGATACTTTCTTTTTCTAATTTTCCAGCCAAAGGTTTCTATGATCTTGATGCTTTAAATGAGGCTGCCTGGACCAGTGCCCAAGCCCAGCTAGTTCCATGTGATATTTGTGGGCGTACTTTTCTTCCAGACAGACTGATCGTCCACCAGAGGTCCTGTAAACCGAAACCTGCAAAGTGAAGTGGATGTAACACACATGCATACAAATGCATGTCTGCTCACACATACACAGACAGACAGACACACATTTATCCTAAGCTAAATAAAGTGTGTGTGTGTGTGTGTGTGTGTGTGTGTGTGTGTGCACAAATACACACACATGCACCCATGCCTTTCAGACAAACCATGAGAGAAATAAAATTCATCTGGAGAGACACGGTCACCAGAACTTTATTGTGTAATGATATCATGTGCTCCAAAAGTCTCCAGAGTAAAAATGAGCAGTTGCTACTAAAGTGTAAAGTCAAATACAGAAAATTACTTTGTTGAAAACAAAATTTTGCTTCTCTTCTTTCAAAGACTCTCTGGTTGGTGTAGACCTTTAGCCGAACTTGGCTAACCAGAGAAACCAAGTAGCTCCTTTAAGTTTTTTCATTTTTGTTTGGGTTTTCCAGTTTTGGGGCATTTTTTGTTTGGAGCACTCCAGTGTTCACATCCATGTGTAACTGCATCTCATGAAGCCCTTGACTGCTACAAGTGAAATCTTCCCATGGAAAGGGATCCAGTCGTGTGGTAGAAACAGACACAGGCTGTTTTTAAAGAAGTACCCAGAAGTGCCCTCTTTTTGTTTAAGAATGATGCTGAACATTTGATTTATCCTCAGCTCAGTAAACTCATCATGTCAAAAAAATTGTAAGTCAGGGAAGCACATCTTGATCATGAACTTTGTAAAAGAAAACATTTTAATGTCAAAACAAAATAAGCATGATGTGCCAGATGGCTGGCATAAAATATCACCCTGCCCTCTGTACCAAATGTAGCCATAACAGAGTGCCAGTGCTGGCTGGAAGACTGGGTATTATACAAGAAAGCCATGGGGAAGGTGTTTGAAGGTGCTATTTTGAAAAATGCTGTTACCTTATGTAGAGGAATGAGTGCCAAAACACATCAGTATAGGAATAGGCTAAACATATGAAGGAAGTAATACTCCCTTTTACAAGGTACAGCAGAGAGCAATTATTATTTTACTTACTCTGAATCCTTTTATTAAGTGGTGAGGTTATTCAAAAGGTATGACAAAATCCGGTACAAGTTGTGAACTAGCAATCTAGGCATCCTGATATCATGAAAGAAACTGTACCTCATGTATGGGCTTAAGGCCTAGAGTTGTCTGTTATGTATTATGTGATTGATGTGACTTTTCTCAGAGCATTCACACTTACTATTGTACTTACAAATCAGAGGAAGCGAGTGCTTTCATACACAGTAAAATGAAATATGGGTACCAACAACTTTTCTTTTCCAAGTGATCAAGCTGTGTGATTTGCAGAGTAAGTGAAACAAGAAGCAATATCTTTGTTCTGTTATTAGAGAAATGCTCCTGGCTCCAGCCCTGGCGGGCTGTTAATTCAGACTGGAGAAGTACCAGCATTCTTTGGTGAAAATAATTTCCAAAACAATCAATGGCACCTCAGCAGCCCTTTCATCTTTGGAATGAGGATTGTATAGTCTGAAGATAGATATCTTCAGGAGTCAAAGGTTCAGTTTCTGTTCTACAGAACAAAGCTGTGTAAACCCTGCAGATCTGTTCTTAGTGTCTCCAGCATAAGAAGAGGTACTGTCAGAGCTGGACCAGTGCCACCCCTCCTCCTTTTGGCTGGAAGAATGCATGTGGTCTGAGGACAGAAGAACAGGGGCGCTAGTTTGTGATTGCTAGACTGGCTCCTAGGAGCTGCTGGCTGGCAACATACACTGCGAGCCCCTGAGGTTGTTCTAAGTCACACCAAGTGCTGGCCCACTGACAAGTGGTTTGGTGATTGGAGGATTATGGATATCATACAATCTCACCTTTGTGTCCCCTTTTCCTTTTCTTGGAATACTCTTTTCTTAGACATGATAAGCATTTTTTGGCTACATCTGCCTCATTGGGTCATTGAGATTCACTACATCCACTTCAAAAGCAAAATCATATTTTGAAGCAATTAAGCCTTTGCAGAGTCACTGCAGTGTTTGGCATAAAAATTCAGCTCTGCCTCTTGGTGGAATTCATAAATTGGAGTCCCTTTGCCATTCTGAAAGTTGGACTTAATGTCTTGATGATTTTACATCTATCAGAGATTTCACCCAGAACACATTTTCTGTGTTTCACTGTCAGCTCTACTACTATTTTTTGGTTTCTGGAATTTTTTGTCAAAATCTGTCTGATGAGGTGAATGTTTATGAATAATAAAACAGTACCAATATTAAGTGTATGTTGTGTCTTATCGAGAAATACTGTTGTAGGGGAACTCCTGAAGCCTAGAGTATGTTTTCCACATCACCTTTGAAAAGGAAAATGAGGATCTGTCAAATTAAGAGCTGTCTCTGCTAGATGGTAATTGCTGCTGAGTTCTGAATTCAGTGTGGGATTTGAAAAATGGTGAAGCTTACCACTTATGGAGTAAAGTCATCATTGGGCTGTGAGGGCTGATGGTGAGACCAGAGCATGCAGAAGCTCAGCTGGAGCCAACAGCCCTCAGAAAGATCTCAAGGGTTGTAGCATTCTCCACAACTTCATGGGAACAATGATTTCCAAAATACTAGAAATATAAAAATCACTGACATAGGAGTGCATATTGTTTCATTCCAGACTGTCACTCACATCCTAAAGTTACTCTGTCATAAGCTTTTCTGCTGAGCTCACCAGTGAAGGTGTGTTTGCCAATGATGATAGTGAGGTCAAAGCAAGCTCTGTTTACTGGGAGAAATACTGAAAGTACCTTTGTGGCTTGCTCTCAACAGAGTCAAAATGAGTTCTTATGAGCATTCCAATTATTGCTTGGCATGTATAATTTTGACTTTTTTTTTGCAGGAGAGGAAAAGGAAATGAGAAATTGAGCTACTTTGCTTCCTTTGTTGCTGTACTTTAGTGATTTGTCATTTAACCTTATCTCATCCACTGTTGGCTCAGTGTTATTTCCAGCTGAATCCCATGTTTCCTACTGCCACAGCACATTTAAAGAGCTGAAAAATATCTTCTGGTACTTCAAAACCAGTGACATTCCATCTAGTTTCCCACAATTGTGCTGACAGCAGCTAAAAGTATTCCTGGACAAAATATACAGAAAGTCAGGACATGGAGTGACAAGTTCAATCACATTAAACAAATGAGCATGCACTTTCTGATCATAAATAAAAACCATGACTTATGTTTTAGTTCAGCCATTTGAACCTACCAATTTAAAATTTAAAAAAGAGTCATTTTATAAAAGCAAATCAGAAGATCATATTCAAGCTAGAAGAGTTTAACTGCAGACTTGAAAAATTGGGCATTAATGAAAGAATCCATAACTGTAGTTAAGTATTATATGTAAATGGAGTCGGGAATGTCACAGTTACCATACAGACTTCAAAAGGTCCTGCATCTCCAAGGGCAGTAGTTAAAAATTCCTGATAGGCTTGAACAAGACAGTTTCATGGACCTGTTTTCTTAAAGACTACTAGGAGTGAATAGACCACAACATGTAGAACAAAAACATTTGTAAATGTAATTTCAGTTTCTAATTAAAGATAGTGAGCACTTATATGGATCTGTGAATTCTCTTTGCAGGCCACAGACCTAGAAAACATATAGTTTTCTATGTAGAAATTATGTTTTCAGTATTGATTACTGACAATTTGAATGCTTAAGCTTTAGTCCAGGATTTGTAAGCATGATTTTTGATCCTGTACTCACTGAAAAAATCCTACAGTTACTGTACTGTATGCATGTATATACTGTGCTATATGAGTACAGGATGCTCAGATACTGACACATATATATATCTTAATCCAATTAGATCGTGCAGTTTTTATGATGGCACACAAGCTTCCAAAGCCTATGTTTGCTTAACAATAGAATTTCATATTTGAGAATTTGGGGTTTATTACCCAGTTCCCGGAGCTGGTCCATGAAGAAGGAATTCTAGGTGGTCTTTTGTCTGAATTACTATTTGATTTGAGGGTCCTGTGATTAGTTTTGCTTCACTGGGGATAAGACTTCTGAATTCTGTATTTCTGAACTGTGTCAACCACAGTGGGTACAAATGAGTTTGCTGTATCTGGAGATATGCCACCCCCAGCAACATGGTAGGATTGTGCAAAAGCAGGATTCAACAGGGGTGTGAAGTCCACCAAAAACCAAAACCTGCAAGCCTGGAAAACCCTCCAAGAGGTTGCCTGAGGGACTTGCGTGCTGTTACTATTTATTCCTTGGTCAATAACATAACTGAAATACACAGTATTTTTGACTCTGGAACATGCAAGAATGAGGAACTCCTCCTAAATATATATATTTTTAAAAAAACTTCTGTCGTTTTCAGTTGAAGAAAAAATTTTATAATCCTCATAGAGTTGAGAAGAAAGAGTTGACAACAGAGCGGGAAAATGTTCCTGACATGAGTGACTCCAGGAGGCCAGACTGTTTAACTTCTCAAAAAAAAAAAAAAACAATTAGGTGCCTCTCTGATAGCCTGTACATATCAAATTAAAGAGACTTCTTTCCAAAAGAAAACAACTGAACAATTTCCAAGCAGGAATTTGTTGCTAGTCAAACTCAAAAGTAAGAAACCCAGAACTTTCAAAGAGTTTACTGAGATTTTCTGCAGATTGTCTGTGGCAGGATTTTTACAAACAAAATCTAAAAAAAAAAGTTATGCATAGGGATAATATTAATAAATTTATGCTAGCCTTGTATTACTGTATTCCTGTAGAACACTGGTCTCCAAGATTTTTCCAGATGATCATGAAATATGTAATTGACATATATTTTTCAGAACAGAAAACAGTTTGTAGAAGTCTAAGAAAAATATTGCAAGTAACTAGTTGTGGAGACCCAAGGACCACTTAACTAAAATCATCCCTTGACCTTTGAAAGGTTGCAATAAGTAATACATCTCAAGGTTAGGGTTACAGAAGCCTCTTTCCCACAGGCTTCCCATTTGTGTTCATATGTTAATTCTCTCAGAGTTCTGTTGTCCCATTGGCCTGTTGGCTCTGACCAC